GATTAACATTTTATTTTTAATATTTTTATTGAGCTTTGTACCACGATTGTTTATTAGGAAAAATTTAAAAGCAACAAAGTCTAATCGGTAGAAGTTATAGTAGCTATATCGGAGATCACCACATCTCCTCATCGGACTTCTTTTTTCTAGAAGCCACAATAACGGATTGACAAATAAAAAGTTAAGGAAGAGCTTGCCTGAAACTGTACCAAAGAAATTGAGCAAATGGATGTATAGAATTGACAACAACAACCACGCTGTCGAGTTAAAATAGCGGCAAATCAGCTGCACTTGATAGTAGTTGGTTGAATAAGGAAAATGAATTAGCAACAAGAGTTTACGGGATGTACATAGCTCAGTGGTTAACGCTTCTGACTTTGAACATCGAATTCGCAGGTTCGATCCCTGCTGAAGTCTAGAAAAAAGAAGTCTGATGAGGAAATGTGGTGATCTCCGAAATAGCTGCTATAACTTCTACCGCTTAGACTTTGTTGCTTTTTAAATTTTTCCTAATAAACAATCGTTGTACAAAGCTCAATAAAAAGGTTAAAAATAAAATCTTAATAAGCCCCATTAACATTGACAAATACATTTATTACTATTGTTTGATCGGAATTAATATATTCATCAGTAATTAATCATATCATATTAAAACATAAGCTTATAATAGGTGAGAAATTATTTTGTCTTAATATGAATAATATTTAATATCGTGCTCCAAAATTCGATCCGAGAGCGTTATCTATTGATCTCTTGATTTAAATATAGTTTGTCAAGCATTAATTAGTGAAGTTTGATCGGAGTTTATATATTCTTCAGTAATTAATCATATTACATTGAAATAGAAACTTATAATGTGGTAGAAAGTTAGAAATTAGAACGACAGCTGGCTGATTTAAGCTAAGATCAGTCAATCAAATGTCAGCCAGCTGTTCTATTTAAACACAGTTTACTTAAACTAAGTTTGAACTGGCACTGAAAAACTGGCCATTACATATAAGTAGATAATCCTCATTTTCGAGCTTAACTCCCTAACCTGTAATTAGAAAAAGAGATTAGCTATGTAAAATTCGTCCCTTGTTGATCTGTAATTATAATATAATCTCGAACTTAACCGATATCTTTTTGTTATCCATCCTAGTTTTATCGATTGTTTTTGCGAAGAAAAGGAGAAATGGCAAATGTAAAAATAAACAAAATTGGA